CAGTCTATACATCAATTTGAGGATAATTGCCATCTTAATAATATTGAGTCTTCTGAGCCATAAACATGGTATATCTTTACACTTATTTAGATCTTTAACTTTTCTCAGCAGTGTTTTGTAGTTTTCAGTGTACAAGTCTTGAATAGTTTTTGTCAGATTCATTCCTAAGTATTTCATATTTTTGATGCTATTATAAATGGAATTATGTTTTATATTTTAATTTCTGATTGTTCACTGCTAGTGCATAGAAATACAATTGAGTTTACATTTTGTTCTTGTATCCCACAATTTTGCTTAACTCATTTACTAGTTCAAGTCATTTTTAAAAATATATTTCAAAGGATTTTCTACTTATAAAGACATCTGCAGATAAAGACAATTTTATTTCTTCCTTTTCAATGATTTCAAAAATTTCTTTCAAAAATGACATTTTTTTTCTTATTGCATTGCTTGATACTCTAGTATAATGTTGAATAGAAGTGGTAAGAGTAGACTTTTCTTGCCTTGTCAATCTTACAAAGAAAACATTCAGTCTGCCTTTCATAATTATGTATGATGGTAACTGTAAGGCTTTTCTATAAAGAAAAAAAAATTTTTTCAGGTTGAGGACTTTTCCTTCTATTCCTAGCTTAATGTGAGTTTTTATAAGGAATGCATGTAGGATTTTGCCAAATGCTTTCTTTGTATCTATTTAGATGATCACATGTTTTTCATTTTAGTCTGTTAATATGAATTATATTGATGGTTTTCTAATGTTAAAACTACCTTGTATTCCTGGGGTAAACCCACTTGTTATGAACTATTATCCTGTTTACGTAATGTTACATTCAATTTGCTAAACTTTTGTTAAGCACTTCTGCATTAAGTTTCGTAAGGGATATTGGTGTGTACGTTTCGTTTCTTGCAGTGTTTTGGTATCAACATAATGCTGGCCTGCTATGAGTTGGGAAGTATTTATTCCTCTGTATTTCCCCTGAAAATTTTTGTAAAATTAGTATTATTTCTTCGTTAAATATTTGGTCAGAGTTGCCGAAGAAGCCACCTGAGCCTGGAATTTTTTTGTGGAAAGGTTTTAATTTCAAATTTAATTTATTTAATGGATATAGGATTATTTAGGTTGTTTATTTCTTCTTAAATGAGCTTTCATAGTTTGTGTCTTTCAAGGAATTCATCTATGTCATCTAAGTTGTCAAATTTATTTGCATAAAATTCTTCATAATATTCCCTAATTATTCTTTTTACACTCTGTTGAGTCCTTAGTGCTGTTAGCTTTTCCATTCTTGATGCTGGTCACTTGTTTCTTCTTTCACTCTTCTTTTTTGTTGTTTTGGCTAGAGGTTTATTCAATTTAGTTGATTTTTCTCAAAGAACCAGTTTTTGATTTCATTTATTTTCTCTGTTTTTTTTTCAGTTTTCTGTTTCACTCATACTCATTCTGATCTTTATTATTTCATTTCTTCTGCTGATTTTGGGTTATATTTGCTCTTTATTTTCTAATACTTCAGATCCTTCTTCTTTTTGAATATAGTCATTTTAGCACTATAAACTGTCTTTTATGAACTGCATTGGCTGCATCCCATAAATTTTGATACACATTTACATTCAGACTAAAATATTTTATAATATTTTGTTTACATTTACATACAAATTGAAATATTTTATAATTTCCTTTCAATTTATTCTATTACCCAGGGGATGTTTAGAAGTGTGTTATTTAGTTTCCAAATACTTGAGAACTTTCTAGCTATCATTCTGGTTTTTATTTCCTTTTTTTTTTTTTTTGAGACAAAGTCTCACTCTGTAGCCCAGGCTGGAGTGCAGTGGTACGATCTCAGCTCAGTGCAACCTCTGCCTCCCGGGTTCAAGCAATTCTCCTGCCTCAGCCTCCTGAGCAGCTGGGACTACAGGCATGTGCCCCCATACCCGGCTAATTTTTTGTATGTTTTAGTAGAGATGGTTTCACCGTGTTCGCCAGGATGGTCTCGATCTCCTGACCTTGTGATCCACCACCTCGACCTCCCAAAGTGCTGGGATTACAGGCATGAGCTACCGCGCCTGGCCTCTGTTTTTCATTTCTAATTTATTTCGATTTTGGTAAAATAGTTTACTTTATAAAACTTAAATTCTTTTACATTTATTTAGATATGTTTTATGGCTTAGAATGTTGTCTATCTTGGTAAATGTTCCATGTGTATTTGAAAGGAATGGGAATTCTGCTGCTGTTGGATGGAGTGTTCTTTAAGTTCCAGTCAGGTCAAATTGATTGATAGTGTTGTTCAAGTCTTCAATATACTCACTGATTTCCTGTCTATATGTTTGGATTGTTGAGAGTGCACATTCATTTTTGCATTACGATACCATTTTATGCTTCATTAAAGTTTTGTAGGAGAACAGTGCTGTCATGTGACTCAGCCCAAGTGCAGCATTGGTACTGCAATAAAACCTAAGCCATGACCTTCTGAGGCTGGAGAGTAATATCCCCTTAAATATCAGCATCACTATGAAAGGAGAACCAAAATCTAACTGGTACAAATATCTAGCCAATGTTTGTGGAATTTTTGAAAGTTAAAGAGTCTTTTTGTTAAAGATTATCATTCAAAATATAGTACATTCAAGGGGAGAAAAGGATGATATGGCAATCTCATAACACTGATACATAGTTCAATATACTATTCTACTTTAATATGCTTAACATTTTTCATATGTAAAGCTTAAAAATATAATATATAAGATAATTTTCCCCTATTTCTTACAAAGGGGACTGTGTTTTCTTTACATATAGTTCCATAAAATAATGCAAAGTTATTTTAAATCATGAAAACAAACATTATTTCGTAACTATTTTCATATATTGGTAAATCTGCGCAAAAAATTTTGGAATTCAACCCTTGACAAGCTAAACTAAAAGAGGCAACATGATGTCTACAAACACATTTTCCAAGTATTTCAAGGTCCATGATTTCTGTGGTAGGGATTGTACTCAGAGACTAAAGACAATTCTGTCCCTATCCTAGAAGGATTTGATGTGATGGATCCTCTGATGTGGCATCCCTTGTACAGGGCCCTGAAAAAACAGAAATAAAATCTATACATGTTCGGACCAAAAGTAGTCATATAATGTTCAGTTCAATAATAATGGTTTAGGCTTAATTATAGGAGTGGAGCAAGGTGGGAATGGTGGATACGTATATCATGCCCATGGGACTTGAAAGAATGACTGTGTGAGATGTGGGTTGAAGCCTGATAATCTCATACTAACTGAAACCTGTTTAGAGTGTGCACTAATAAAATCCTGGTGCATATTAAATAAGCCACAGCTCAAACTGTGTTTAGTATCACAGTATGAGCAAAAATTATACTCAGATATATTACTTGTCAGGGCAAGGGAAAGAAAGGAATCCTAGTGGTGACTTTTAAGATACTATTTCCAGCAACCAAGGTCCTTGTTATGGACTGAATGTTTCTGTCCCCTAAAAAGTTTATATATTGAAATCCTAACCCCTGATATGATAGTATTATGAAGTGGAACCTCTGGGAGGTGATTTAGGCTCTAGCCTCATGAATGGGATTAGTGCCTTTATAAAGGAGACTCCAGGGAGCTCTCTCCCTCTCTTTCTGCCTTGTGAGGATATGAGAAGATGGCAGGTTGCAACCTAGAAGAAAACCCTCACCAGAACCCAACAAGGCTGGCTCCTGATTTTGGGCTTCCGGAACTGTGATAAATGAATTTCTGTTGTTTATAAGCCACCCAGTCTATGGCACTTTGTTAAAGTGGCTCGAACGAACTAAGACAGCCTTTGACTGTATTATGATGTGAATAATCAATCCAGATGTGAGAGTATCTTCAGATTCCCGAGGATACATTCCGTGACATGATGGGCATTTTGTGCAACACTCAGAGAATGAAAAGGAGATTTGGAAAGTGCAAGGCCTTTATGAAATTAGTACAGGAGATTTCAAAATTTACTTTGTAGATATAATTGTGTGTTTGTATTCCCTTATCAACATGAAACTTTTTCCTTTCTTCTTTTCTTCCTTTTGTCCTTCCTTCCTTTCTTCCTTCAATTATTTTTCTTCAATTCAGTGAAATGTAGAGAAGATATCCCTTGTTAATATTTAAAACAAACAAACAAACACAAAATACATGTATCTGGCTAGAAAATATTAACTTTAAACAGGGCAAAAATATACAAAACAGAAATTGAAGCTACCTCTCCCCACCTGAATGACCCTTTCCCATCTAATCTTTCACCTCAAAGAAAATTGCTATTTAACAAAGTCTTAGGCCGGGTGTCATGGCTCATGCCTATAATCCCAGCACTTTGGGAGGCTGAGGCAGGCGGATCATGAGGTCAAGAGATCGAGACCATCCTAGCCAACAAGGTGAAATCCCGTCTCTACTAAAAATACAAAAATTAGCCAGGCGTGGTGACGTGCGCTTGTAGTCCCAGCAACTCGGGAGGCTGAGGCAGGAGAAGTGCTTGAACCTGGGAGGCAAAGATTACAGTGAGCCGAGATTGTGCCACTGCACTCCAGCCTGGTGACAGAGCGAGACTCCATCTCAAAAAGATACATATATGCATATACATGTGTTCAGATATATTTTCAATCTATTTTTCTTCTTTGCTAATCCATAGAACAGAGCTCACACTATACACACCTCTTCACTCATTTTTTTAACTTATTACCAAATACTGAGAATCATTTCATATACGTATATTACCTTACCCTTTTTAGGGACCAGTATTTACACCGACGGATTTAACTGTATTTTATTTCACCAATCCCTACTGATAGGAATTGGTCATTTAGTTTGTTGCCATTACAAATAATGCTTTAATTAATGAGTTTGGTGTCCATGTCCATAGATCTAGGTCAACTTCCATCACTATATTCCTATAGTAAGTTTCATACAATGGGCTTGCTCCTTCAAAGGATATATGCAATTAAGATTTTTATCCCAAAGTACCAGCTAGTATGTTAAAGAAAGTTAATTTTTTTTTTTTTTTTTTTTTGCACCAGGAACACATGCACTTTATTGAATGACATTGTAGAAAATTGTGTGAGGATAAAGGGCTGATACAGGACTGGGTTCTGGGGGCAGGGCGAGGAATGGAAGGTGGAGTACATGGGAGACACGTTGTAGACAGAGCTCCTGGCCTGGATGCTGCCTCCTGTTCTATCGATAGACTTGGAAGATCAGCACTGAGATGAGGATGAGCAGAATGGTCAGGAGGATGCCCAGAGCCAGGGCTCAGATGTTCAGGCACTTGGCAGTGGAGACACAGGCCTGGGCCCCAGTCAGGTCGCCAACCACCTTCCTGTCCATAGACTTCCTGTCCTAGACTTCACGGAGTGCTATGAAGTCCAGGCAGCAGGAGCTCATGAAGAGATGTTGAATAGGGACCAGATGACGTGGTCAGGCACAGAGGTCTCACTGCAGATGTGGATCACGGTGAACATCGGAGAAACAGGGTTGTGGGGCGCCCCCAGCACAGCCACCTCATGCTTCTCCTTGAGCGTCTCATAGTTGGTGGGGTGGCCAGTGTTGGTGGGAGTGAAGAGGGTTTGGACAGTGTGGTTCATGGTATCCAGGGAAAACCAGCTGTGTTTGGGTTGCTGGGATGGTTCTCCAAAAAAAAAAAAGATTTTTATAGATAAGAACAAATTACTCTCCAGGAAAGCATTCAAAGTTACACTTCCACCAAAAGGGTATAAGAGTGTTTTTTCCTCCGTACTTTTGCCAGTACTCACCTTTCAATTTCTTTCTTTCTTCTTTTTTTTTTTTTTTTTTGCCAATTTGATAGATATATTATGTTTTGGTATTCATTTCCTTTATTATAATCATCTTTTACATCTTTCTTCCCCATTTGTACTTTTGCTCTGTAAGATGGATGATCTCATCTTTTGCCAATTTTTCTATTGATTTGCTCACCTTTCAGTTCATTTGAATGAGCTCTTTGTAAATCAAGAAAATTAACCTGTCCATCTGTCAAAAGTTTCTAATGATTGAAATAAATTATTTTCTTCCATTTATCTTAACAGATAGACTTCTTAAGCCCTCTTATACAAAGAATTTCAGCCTGATTTCACTTTAAAATGAGATATAGGCAATAACAAAAGCCAAATTGTCACCTACTTTAAAGGATAAGTGAATAATAATAAGGCAGCATGATGTACCTAAGGGAAATTTGAGTGATCCCAGCTGGGAAAGAAACCAAATATTCATGCCTTTATACTCTGCACAAAACTTGCACACCAGAACTTTAAAAGATGACTCTTTGAAAGTAGTTCCTCAGTGTCTTTCATACTCCTTAATCTTCCAAATTTTAAGTGACGCTGTTAACAAACTTTAATTTTCATTTTAATCATCTTAGCCTCATTATGAAATGGTGTTATGCAAATATTTAAGTATAAATGATATCTACATATACTAGAAGACAAGTCATAGTTCAGCAAGAGAAGCATGATATAAAAAGGCCATTATGATGAGAGTCAGTGAACTTGGATTCCAGATGTGCCCCCGTCACTCCTTTGCCATGTAACCTTGGGTAACTCCCTCAAGTTTCTGTGGTTCTGTTTTCTCATCTGTAAATTGTAAATAATAATAACTTGTATTCCTAGCCAATACCTTGTTTTGCTAATTAAAAGAACTCATGAATTATTTTGCAAACTATGCAACACTCTCGATTACTGTAATCATTGGGAAGTAACATATCTGTAGATTACTTTCAGCAATGTCTTATTGCCATTCTCCAAGTTGTGAAAGGTTCTGGTACTGATTACAAAATCTATTTTGAAAATTTCCCATGGTGAATATAAACAAAGTCTTAATTTCATTTTTTATTTCCTTCACATTTAAATAATTAATGGCATATTTTGATTAAACATGTTAGCTTCTTATTTCATCATGTCCAATATATGTCTTCAAATATAGAGGTGATTAGAGTTGGAATCATCAACAAATCCAAGGCAATCCTTACAAAAATAATTTATCTGTTATGGGAGACAAAATATTTAAGCTATATAATGTAAGACCTAAAAGAATGCTATTAAATTATTGCATAAGTGTTTCTAAGATGTTTCTATCCTAATTTCTAAACATTTAGGGAAAGCTATTCTGTCTTTCAAAAAAGGAATCATTTCAGCCTGGGCAGCATGGCAAAATTCCATCTCTATGACAAACACAAAAATTAGCTGGGCACGGTGGTGCACTTCTGTAGTCCCAGCTACTTGGGAAGCTGAGATGGGAGGATCACCTGAGCCTGGAGGTTGAGGCTGCATTGAGCCGAGATCACGCCACTGCACTCCAGCCTGGGTGACAGGATGAGTGAGGCCCTGTCAGGAAAAAAAAAAAAAAAACCCAAAAAACAAACAAAAAAGATATAATTTAAATACTTAAAGTTTACAAGGCTTAGGTAGTCCCAAAATATACATCACTTCCAGAGATGTTTACATTGAAGCTAAGAGATGTGAGCCATTTTAGTGATTTGAAACTTTATTCAGAATAACTTCTTGTCATTGAAAAGGGCATTATTAGTTAAGTGCAAATGGTCAACATTTTTGAAATTGCATATGAACAATTCAAATAATCTGAGAAGCAGCCCTCATTCTGGAGTTTCACATAGCATACAAACTCAGGTTACTATTTCTTAAAAAATTTTCCTTAAAAAGATGATGAGTTGGGATAATTGTACCAGACATGGTAAACAGGACATACTGTTCAATAGGTAGCAATACCTCCAAAAGATGTCTGTTCTTTCCTCTTTTACACACACATGCATACAAACACACATACACATACTCATATTTCCATTTGGTGCCTGCTTCCTGAATAGAACCTCAAACATGAGAAGACAGAGGGAGTTTCTGAGACGCTGGTAGGTTATTTTCTTAGGAGCCATTGCTTCTTGGTCTCTTTTTTTCCCAGATCAGATCTGCCCTTCTTAGCCTTTGTTTTGCTTGGCCTCTTCTCATGATGGCAGTAGTAGACTTCGATCTTTCCAGAATAAGTATACAACTGGACATTATTAGGCAAGTAATCTGATTTTGGTCTCGCCTTATGCATGACCGCTTTTGACTTCCTAACTTTCAGTAGCCTGGCTCATGTTTTTAGAGTATTAATTATTTTCTTAGAAGATTCTATATGTTCCTGGCTTTCAGATTAGCTCTATCCACTATCAGTACCTGACATTAACAGGAGTATCTAAACTCTATGATGCTTCATTGTATACAATGCTTTGTATGGATCCAGTGTGTATTTCACCATTATCTTAACTGCAGTTATTGTCACTGTGAATGTCATTATAACATATAAAGGTCTACACCATCCTTGCCTTGAGCCAAGATTCAGAAACCATGCCTCCTTTTCAAGTCCAAATGACCCCCTAGCTAAGCCTTCTGCATTTGCAAACCAGGATGCCACTTGTTTACCATCTTGAATAAACAGATGCTTTAACATCTGAAGAATTTCCAATAGACTGTATGTCCTTGTGCCTTTTGGACAATGTTTTTCAACTATTCTTGGATCTTTCTTACTTCTACCTCCTTTTCCCTCCTTGTTTTTTTCTTTAAGCATTAATCACTACCTGACATTATTTTATATATTTGTTTGTTTATTATCTGTCTCCCTAAATAGACTGTAAGTTTCATGAGTTCAAAGTCCTTGCCCTTTTTGTACCCCTCTGATACCTAGTACCAAGAATAGTGACATAATAGATGTTTACTCAATATTTGCTGAATGGATGAATGAATGATTTTTGTAACCTTGGACAAGTTACTTCTCTTTTTGAAGCTTCCCTCTTGTTGTTTGCGAAATGAGGATGTTAGACTAAATTAGATGATTTCTAAGAACCGCTTACATTTTATGATTGGAATTCAGAATACAGGTAGCTAAGTCCAGTCAGGACAGTAATGGAGAGTAGCAGATAGTTGCAGAGAACAAGTGATCTGGGTGCTATCCTGCACTGGGGGAGGGTCAGGGAAAGGATCTCTAAGGAAAAGGGAATATACCATGTGCACATTCAAGAAAAGAGAAGTTCGGGCAGAGGGAACAGCAAATGCCAATGGGCTAAGACAGAAGTGTGTTTGGTGTGCTCAAGACAAGGCAAAGAGGAAGGTGTAGCTCAAGTACAGTGAAAAGGGGAGAGTTGGAAATAAGGTCAGGAAGGCAGCCAATGGCCAGATTATGTGGGATATATGTGTATGTGTGCTGGGTATGAAAGGGAATGTAGGTGTGATGTGGTATGGGTAGTGCATGTGTGGCAAAGTATTGTGTTTGTGTGGTGTATGTGCACATAGTATGTATATGTGTGTGGTATGGTATGTGTGTACATGGGTTTGATGTGAGAGGTATGTGTGTATATGCTATTGTGTGTGTGCTATGATGGCATGTGTATAGCATATTTTTCTGTGCTTGATGGAGAGGAGAGTATACATATGCAGCACGGTATTTATGTATGTATCTGTGTGGTGTGGCATGTGTATGGTATATAGTGTGTGTTTGTGTGTTTGATGTGGATAGGGAATAAAATATTAGATGATGTGTGTGTGTGGTATACATTGAAGTTACTGCTCATGTTACAACAAAAGCTGATTAAAACTCATCCTGCCAGGGTAATTGAAAAACCCAGCTTGAAAATAAAATAAGCATTCCATTTTTTGGTGCTTCCTTCTGAACAAGCTTCCAGGATTAAAAGACTACCTTGCATATGTTACTGCACATTAATGAGGAATTTTGCTTATCAGATAGCCTAGATTTTTAATAATGGATTGATGCTTTCTGAAAAAGAACATTGTTTTGCTTTTGCTACATCATCCTGATCATTGAAATCTAATCTTTTTCAACATTGTAAATATATAATGCAGCAAAGCACAGATTCTAAAATAAATCCATAATTTAAATAAGTACAGAGCTTTAAGATTCATTTGGTTATAGTTTTGATGTAAAATGTGGGTTTGAAAACCCAGGGGTTCTTGACCTATATTATCTAGATTTTTATGCCCCTGGCATCTTGAACTGCCAAGAAATATATATATCAAAGTGTCAGGGACAGCAAAATATGTTGTCACTTTCAACTCTGTTTTATGCATTAATATTTGTACCTAAAATCTCTCTTCTCATTCGATCAATGGAATGAGATGATATACTGTCTCCATTCTGACCCACATAGAAAACACAACCAAGACTGAAATACTAATGATTTGCTTCACTGCTGAGATTTCAGTTATCTCAGATGACAGTGAAAATGCCTCACGTCTTGACAAAAGATAGGACAGAATTTTCCTCTAATCATAATTGTAGTGGTTGCATGCAAAAAAAGAAAATATATCCAAAATACAATGAATAAACAGGGAAAGATGCAAAGGAAGTGAATCTCCCTTCTCTATTTAATACAGTTGACTAGTTTGTCCCTATGTGTACCAAAATATGTTTACCTACTGAATATCCTGAGCAAAACAAAACAAAACCTTCTTAGGTAAGATGAGTGTATTCACTGAAGTGGCCTTCAACTAGGGATCATTTCTAAAACATTCTACCTGCCTTTAAGTTGTTTCATACTTAAGAAACTGAATTCACTGGAGGTACTTAAAAGGATGAGGCTGTATAATGGTGGATCACTTCAGCTGGGCAAGCAGAAGATCATGATTTGAGTCCTGGCTTTGCTCTTTACTAGTTATAGAGCCTTGAGAAGGCTGCTTAATTTCTTCCTCACTAAGTGTCTGTTTAAGATATAACAGGGAGGAAAAAATGATGGAATAGGAGGTCCCTTGATCATATTTCCCCAGAGCAACAAGAATTTGGTAGCCATCCATGGACAAAAGTGCCTTTGTGGGAGCTGTGGACCCCAGTTTGCAAAACCCAGGCACAGCCTAAGACCAAAGATGGCTCCTTTGAAAGGGCAGACTCACCCCTAGGTGGTACACTCACCAACTATGGTCCTGTGACAGAATCAGATACATTCTGTTCCTCTGTGGACTCAGCTACAGCCCCATTTGGCTTTGGTCCTGCCACCAGAGCCATCTACCAGGGGATCTGGGAGGACTCACATCCACCTGTGCTTCAGGTGACAGGCCTGTGACCTGGCTGTGGATCCTGAAGCAGCTTGGGACCCAGCTCCAAGCTCTCTTGGCCGTGGTCTGAGAGCAGTCCTGCTCACACAGGAACCTGCTGGGAAACATGCCCATCCATGCCTTGAGAGGCCCACCTGTTTGCTTGCTTCCCACAGCAGACCTTCAAAGAGCCCTAAAACTTGCTTCCAGGCCCTCTCAGCTGCAATCTGACTGCAGTCCTCCCATCCCAGGGATGTGCCAGAAGACATACCCATTTATGTCACTAGAGGCAGACTCACTGACCTAAGTAAATCTTAGGCCAGATCTTGAAGCAGCCCTGTGACCCAGCTTCAGCACCACTCCGCTGCAGTCCCAGGGCAGTCCTTCCCAACAAAGGACCCAGGAGGAGGCACCTTCATCCGTGACCCAGGAGGCAGGCCTTGAGCTTGTGTGTAGACCCTGAAGCAGTCCTGTGACTCAGTTTTAGTCCCTCTCTTCTGCCCAGTGAACCAGTGGGAACCCTCCCTGAGACCCTGCGAGAATACCCATCCATGCATCTGGCAACAGGCCTGCCAGCTGTAGACCAAACTTTGAACCCTGAAGTGGACCCTTGTCCCAGAACCAGACCTACTGACCAAAGACTTAGAGACAGTTGATTTCACTCAAGGACCAGAGAGGATCCATTCTCACTTGAGCCTCTGGTAACAGGCCCACCAACTTCAGACCCCACACTGGAGCCAGCAGCAGTCACATTGCCCAACTCCAACCCCATTCAACTGCAATCCTGGTGGCAATTTCATCAGCCCATGGACCTAATAAGAGGTCCTTACCTGCTGAAATCAATCTATAAAGACTGGAAAAAGTGTTTGCTCCTTCAAATGCACAGACACCAATGCAAAGCTACACAGATCAAGAAGAATCAGACAAACATGACACCAAAAGAAACTAATAAAGCTCCAGTAACCAACCCCCAAGAAATGGATATGTATAAATTGCCTGACAAATGATTCCAAATACTTCCTGACTGTATCTTTAAAAAACTCAATGAGATGCAAGAGAACAAAAACAGATGCAATCATGTAGACAATCCATAAACAAAATGAGAAGTTTAATAAAGAAATAAAAACCATAGAAAAGAACCAAACAAAAATCTTAGAGCTGAGGAATATAATGACAGACCTGAAAAAAAAAAAATTCAATAGAGAGCTTCAACAACAGAGTTGATTCTGCAGAAGAAAAAAATCAGCAAATCAAAAATAGATTATTGGAAATTAGCCAATTAGAGGAACAAAAACAAAAGAAGAAATTAAAAGGATTAAGAAAGCATAAAGAAGCCATGAGACACTATCAAGCAAATGAATTTACAAATTGTGGGAACAGAAGCGAAAGAGAGAAAGAGGCAAAACACTAATTTTAAGAAATTCATACACAAATCAATACATGTGATACACTATATTAACAATAATAAAAATAACTGAATGATCATTTTGATAGAAGCAGAAATGCATTGACAAAATTCAACATCCTTTTATGATGAAAACTCTCCACTTATTAGGTATAGAAACAATTTACCTTAACATAATAGAGGTCATATATAGTAAGCCCACAGCTAACATCATACCCAACTGTAAAACACTGAAAGCTTTACCTCTAAGATCAGGAACAAGGCAAGGATGGATACCCATTCTTGCCGATTCTATTCAGTATAGCATTGGAAGTCCTAGCCAGAGCAGTTAGGCAAGAAAAAGAAATAAAATGCATCTAAATTGGAAAGGTAAAAGGTAAATTGTTTCTCTTTACAGATGACATGATCCTGTACATAGCCAGTCCTAAATATTTGACCAACAAACTATTACAGCTAATAAATGAATTTAGTAAAGTTACAAGACACAAAATTAACATACAAAACTCAGCT